GGGTGACTTGATTCTTTTTCAGAAGGAAAATAACCCTGGGTACTGGAGTTTATGCACTGCATGCAAAGATTGTTTTAAAATCAGTTTGAGAAATTTTCTCACTAACGTCACACAAGGGAAAGCAACACTATATTCAACATGGTTGAAATGAAATTCATGCGAGTAAAACTGAACTAAATGCATTAACATTTTTATATGGAATTATTATTATGTAACAAAATAAAGAATATATAAATTTGAAAATGATAAAACCTGAACTAAATTGTGGATAAAATTAAAACTATTGCAAAAAAAAAAACAAGCAGCCTCTCGGCTGAGATAGCTCCGCTGTTATCAATGCACATTTCAATTAAAGAACAGAAGATATCATTAGAAAATGAACAATATGTATAGTATCAAAACAATCAGACTTGCGGTTTTCAACAAGAAGTGGAAAATATCACTTTTTACCAAAAATTACAAAAATATTCATCAAAATTAGAGAATTGAAGATATCATCATGAAATGAACAAATCTGAATTAGAACCACATGTAGTACCTATATCAAAGCAATTGGACTTGCAGTTTTCAACAAAAAGTCGAAAATATCACTTTTTACCAAAAATGACAGAAATATTCACCAAACTTAGAAAATTAAAGATATCATTACAAAATGAACAAATCTGAGAGAGGTCCACATGTAGTACCTATATATGTAATATCAAAGCAATTGGACTTTCGGTTTTCAACAAGAAGTCGAAAATATCACTTTTTACCAAAAATGACAAAAATATTCACCAAAATTAGAGAATTGAAGATATCATCATGAAATGAACAAATCTAAGAAAGGTCCACCCAAGGTACATAAACACCAAGTATCAAAGCATTCAGGCTTGTAGTTTTCAAGAAGAAGTCGAAAAAGTAAAACATTGACACGGACGACAACGGACAATCACTCATATGATAAGCTCCGCTCGACAAAGTCGACAGCGGAGCTAAAAAACCAACAAACAAAAAACTACGTTGTTATGTGCTTTTTAGTTGCTTGTCTCGGTACTACATGTACTGTATTGTGATTTATTCTATGTTTATTCCATACATATGGAAGAGGGCAATCAAAAACCAAAATTCAGCCATTGGTTAACATGGCATTCTAGAAATGGACATCCTTGTCTCACTTTCATGCACATGGCCAAGAGCCCTTAACTATTGCACAGGAAAATATTCCAAGAACATTCTCCTCTGTAAAAGGGTATGGATATTTGGTTTAAATTTGTATGCACTTTGCAGGAAATATCGTCTTAATAATTTAGACCACTTGAAGAGAACTGAGGCAAACACAACTTGTATTGTTTTCACCACAATGAAACTCGATCCTACTAACAAGACATATTGACCAGGTACTTTAGTAACGACCTTCATGGAAATGTGTTTTTTATTGGCAATTAAGAGTTACAACATTGTTACCTAACACCACAACATCCCCCAGAAAGTTACACACTATATGAAGTTGACTATTTTAAATTCACACTGGTTGTCAATCAGACAGAACAATCAACACAATAAATTAGAAATATTTCCATTTAAGTTGCATGAATATACATATATATATATATATATATACAGTCAGAAAAACCATAAGCAACCATTCGTAAAATATTCTCTTAGCACGGACCCATGTTGATAATGAGATACAGTACAATAATGAAGTCATGGTATTAATTTGACAATAATGACAATTGATATGTGATGCTAAACACCAGAGATAATGTACTGATAAAATATATTTCCAAAGGTGAGCATACAATACAAGTATTTACACCTCTCTTTATGTGATATGATACAAAAAAATTACTGGGTATACAAACACATGTGGCATCTATTATGCAATAATTCCAAAAAGGAAGCCTAGCAGTAAGATTGTTGTTGTTTATTTTACACAATTATAATACGTTTTAAAATGGCATTATTTTACAAATTATAAAATTGATGTATAGATCATGAATTACGTCATCAGCACTGACAAGATGCATCAGAACTTAACATTATTTTGTTATAGTTTTCATCAAGTCACCAAATATTAATTTACATTGTAAAATGTAAAGATCACTGTCAAGTAGATCACTTCATCTTTATTACTTTCTACTTGTATGTCTTCATATAAAAGTAACATACATAATGCTTTGCAAACACTCTACTTGTTTTACTTACCCCTGGCCTAGGTAGTGAAAGATACACTTGCTTTTCACCTGTAAAAAAAGAAATAATCTCAATTAAGTAATTGCATCATATAGCCCCAGTGAATTGTCAAGTTCAATAAATACATAACAGTCAGGGCATGTCAGAGATATGGCTCTAAAACAGCATTCACTAAATTATTGGCCACCAGTCAGCCATTCTGAGTTTGATTTGACAAACGAAATGGTGTGCATTATGGTCACATGAAGTTTAATTTTTAATATATAATATGTCCATGCACAACTGAGATCCATTTGCAGAAATGCTTCATTTTAACAAATTTTCAATATTTAAATGGCTCCTATTTGGCAGTCTTGAATTGGATTGTCAAATGAATTCATGTACATATGTGTGACATGATGTATAATGTTCATCTATGGTTTGAACATGACTACCGGTAGTCAGGGAATGTACGAGATATAGCTCTGAAACAGCATTTGTTAAATAAACTGGCCAACAGTCAGATATTTAGAATCAGAAAAACAAAATGACATGAATCAAGGTCCCATAATGTTGAATATATGTACCAATTCGTTTATACAAGACTACGATCTGGTTCCGGAATAACTAAAAGGCTTGATTTTGATAAATTGTTCAGTACAAAATGGCCGTCATTCAGCCATTTTGAATCGGATTGCTAAATTAATGAACCTGTATATGATTCCCAAATGCATAATCAGTCAAGGCATGTCCGGAATACAGAGACACACACGCACAAACATCAAAACCCAAGTCCTCGTTTTTGGGCTTCATCCAAATTTGAAATAATAATCAGATTATTTACAGAAAACTTGTTACATGAATACTGCATTATTGTGATGTATTTTGCAATTTTCCACTTACATGACTTCCCTTGGCAGACATCATTGATTTCTTTCACCAATACAGAGAGATCGTTGATTTGCTGTTCCCATGCTTCAGAAAAAACATCCAAGTTTTCTTTGGCAATTTTACTAGTAGGATTAATAGCTAGTGTCTGAGCCGCTGATACAGTCTGACAAAGAATAGAATTAGAAAAATTAACATACAAAAAAAATGCATCCAATATTACAAATACCAGTAAATTGATACTGTAACAAAAGTACGCCATATTGTTGACAAGGGAGCACAATTTATTAAAATGACAGTTTCAACATTTGTGAATAACTTACCTGTGGGCCGAGTAATTTCATATTGTTCTCTGCATGTTCTGCTGATATTTGTAAAGGTGCACTTCCAGATATATGCCTTAATAGTCGACATGCCTGTAGAAAGTTAATACCAGAAAAAAAACATGAAAAAACGAGGAATTGAGAATGTCACAGCCCCCTATGTTCTTGTACATACATGTAAATACATGATAAATGTCAGCATTTATATGCTCCCTTTTTGATCAAGTGCATGCACCAGTTCTACACTGAACTGACTTGGACTGTGGGAGTCCCTAATGACTAGTGCATTGTGCGAAACTTGTGTCATTTGTGGGATTGCAGGAGCTTTATGTTTGGCAGAGTTGTGTTAGTTTCAGTCATAACTATCCCACAATACACTTTGATTTGGAATTGCCATATGATCTATGGCTGCCAGTCAACCATCTTGAATTGTATTGTGACACAAATTAACTGTTGTTGATACGCTGTTGATATAACTGTGAACCACGTTTTACATTAATTGGACAAAATGTGCAGGAAAAAGGTCAAATTTGCTGATTTTTGTCATACAAAATGGCTGCTGGTCAGCCATATTGATTGCCATTGAATCTCAGCAAAATTCAATTGCAGTATATAAAGAATTTATTACCTCTGTATCAAATCTGGATAAACTAAATAATTGTATTCTAAATTTATAAAGCAAAAAAAAGTATTTTTAACAAACAAAATGGCCAACCAATTTTTAAAAAGAGCCTCAATATGCCAACTGGTATTACCCATATTCTAAGTTTGAACAGGATTGGTCAGCACAACTTGGTAATAGTGTTCTACTCATATAAAATGTTGATTTTTCGGCTGATTTGGGTTCAAGTATGGCTGCCAGTCAGCCATTTTGATCTGAACAAAAAAAATCTGGGGCATGTGTATACCATCATGTAGCAAGTTTGGGAAACACCAGTTCATTACCTTCTGAGATAATGTGACAGACATATAAATGAACGAACAGAACCCAATCACATTGCAGCAAAACCATTATTGATAATCCTGATAGAGTTAGAGATAAACTTCATTCATGAATATTTGAAAATTTATTACCTCTTGTAATTGTTCAGAATGTTCTATAAATTTAACAGAATACCCTTCCACTTTGTCCACATCGCCAGCCACTCCACTATTTTTCAACATGCCCAGTATATCATGGTCTTCGTTATTCTGGAAGATTTCGGAAGCTTGATCTAAGGCTGTATCTTGCACCTAGAATGTAAGTTGTCATAGAGAGAATGGTAAGAGGAACATCACTGCTAACAGACGTGTACTAATTATCGTCGTTGACACCCTCAATACCTTTCAATCACAAAAGATTACATAGCTAAAGCTCGTTAACGTCTCAGTTTGTACTCGTTGGTCTGCACAACAGTCAAACTTGCCATCTTTGTTCATACAAGATCCATATCTCGTGCATGCATGGCGCGACGACCACCACCCTATGAGGATACTCAAAAATAAAAGTTATTCACATTTTCCCTTTAATTGTTTTACATAACACAATAAATCCATCTTTATAAATATGCTCATTTAAATTACAATTTATTCGATTATCTTACCTGTTTCTTAAGGTCTAGTGTTATTCTGCACATTTTAATAATGGATTTTTCTAAGTCTTCAGTTGGATGCCGACAATCATTCTTCTCCTGAAATAGAAATAATAACAAACTGAATGCATTTTGAAAACAGTTATTCCGGAGAAATTCAAACATGCCTTGATGAAAATCAAGATGAAGACGAAGATAAATAAGTGATGTGTCATGAAACGACACTGGCAATAATAATGTTAGCAGGTGCTAATGATAATTGGCCAGTTGAAAACATTCCTGGAACAAATGCTGAAAGGCCATATCAGAAATATAACAATTCAACTTACAATTGCTACTCCTAGTTTTGCTAAATTATGTAATTCCATTTTGGCTTTGTCGCAGTAAGACAAAATCTTTTCCCTGTGTTCATGAGAAGTATAGGCAGAATCCGTGAAATCTTGTGTAGTGTCAATAATGTTATGTAAGGCACGAACTAACTTGTCTCTGCTGGAAGAATCAACCTGTGTTACTCTTGATGACTCAACAAGATCCTGAAAGCAACCACAAACATAATGATTAAAAGAGTAATTCTATTTATTAAATGTCAGCACTAGCACTTGCAATTTGCACATACAAAAAAAAAATCAGGAGAGACAACAGTGACATTCAATGTCCAGAACTATAACCTGGCATGAAAACTTAAAAAATAAATAAAGACCGTTGTGGTATGAAAAGAGTGAAAGTCTTTGATTTGATTTTGGATTATTATTTTTCATAGTTCAATGCAGAGATGCCATTTTTCAGTGAGGAATATGACAATGAGATATCATCACTATAATAGATATTAAACATCCTTAAATGTGTATAGTATAGTGTGGACATACCCACATAATGTTATGACACCACTATGATGCAATGACCTTTGTTTATCTAGTGTATGATATTATTAGTTAAAATAGAATGGGATTGCCTTCAAATGTTCGTGAAACACGCAAAATTGCTTCCCTAGAGATCTTTATTGCATATCACATTAAATGATCACCCTTATCTTATAAACCCTTGGATAAATGCATGATAATATCAAGATGTGAATTTTGGAGCAAACTTTTTTAAAATTTTGACTGTATATTATGTTTATGCTTTGTTCGTTCATTATCCATATAAAGTGTTTTGAATGAACTTACTGTGAAATCTTTAAGTATATTATGCATAATAAGATGAGAAGCTGGACCGTTAAGACTTGATGGGTATTCATCTGTCACTATGGACTGTATCATCGCTAATGCTCTTCGCATCTGACTAAACACGCCATCGCGATTCTCCTTGGCAGACTCGCAATCTGGATGACGAAGCGAAGTCTACATGGAGAAAATCATGATAAGATGAATTAAATCAAGGAAGACTGAAAACAGATTTAATGGATGAGTAATTTGAATATTTTACAACAAATATCCTATAATGTATAGAACATTTGTTCTAAAACATTCATAAACATACCAATAATTTAAAACAAATGAACATCTGTGTTGCTAAATAGTCCTATATCTGGTACCCATGTTTTGCACATTGCGTAAAACATGCATTCGGTCAAATTGTAGAACACTAATTGTATCAACCCCAAACATTCAAAAGTCAGTGAACACCACCAAACGGAGCACACAAACAGTATTCAACACAGTGAGATATGGTTCCTTTATTACTGGATGTAAACATAGCGGGATATATCACCTTACAAGAAGTCAATAGCATCATGGTAGATTTCTCCAACACAGCTCTTGCTGCACCCATCTTAGCTCTATGTTTCTCATCTTTAAGATCCTGTCAACAGATGACATAACTTTCATAAATAAGAAATAAACATAAATGCAAAATAGGAAAAGTCTCAAATCTATTAAATGCATTCCTAATGCACAAAGCTTGGCTCAATCATCCTCAAAATTGAAATAAACATTTTTTTTTCTTATACCGGTAAATCTCCAACATTTGAAAATTTAAACACATTTGCAAAAACAATATTTTAGGAAAGTTAATGACAATGCACTGATGCTAATTTTGAAATTCTGAAGAAAAAAAACATTTCACAAAATTAATTATACTACTAAGTCAATATATAAGCTGGTATATACCATATAATTCAGTAAAAATTACTTTTCTTTCTATTTTGATATAGATTTGTATCATTATTTACATAACATCCACCATGCAGACTTTCTGCAGCGTTATAATTAGTTGACTATCTAGTGATATTCTACATGTTAGAGGAATGGCACGATCAGAGTGTAACTTAACATGTACATTGACTTTAATGCTAGCATAGCTTGATTTCAAAACTGTCACAATTGTGTAAATGATCAGCTAAACATGTCACATATTAGTAAACACGGGTAAACACTACAGAAAATGAGTTAGAATTATTGATGATATAAAGTATAAGTTTTTATAAAAAGCAAAGTCAGCTGAAAAACAGCTTGAAAATTAAGTTATGCTTCAACAGTACGGTACTGTGCAATGAATTGTTGGAAATGCACCAGTATGAATGCTAATATCAAGAAAATGTTCTTTAAAATAACAAAAATGTAACGGATTCAATTGCTTTTTATATTTACATAAATCACAGTTGCTGTAGTCGAAATAAGTCACATTTCAATGATTTAGAATACAATCATGTGGTTTACATTGTATATGTGCTTTTATTGGACATGTGATTTTAATAGTGCAAATAAGGTGTTCAAACAAAAAAGTTATTTTTTGATTGGTTGAATATTAAGAGGATGAGTAGAGAGACCAATCAGCAGCAATTAAGGTGTTCAAACAAGGAAGTTGCTTTCTGATTGGCTGAATATTAAGAGGATGAGTAGACAGACCAATCAGAAGCAAATAAGTATTAAAGTCACTTGTATAGCTGTAGCATCAAAAGTAATCAGAACTTACATTTTGTCTGTCCCCTGTAAGATGTGCTAGTTCTACCATTTCACTTCCAAACTGACTAAATGCCTGCACAAAATCTGTAAAATTGCTGACGTACTCTAGTTTGGACAGACTACTATCAACCTGAAAAAAGAAAAGTATTAACAGGTTCATTTACCCAACAAAAACATAGCACAATTGAAGTATAATTTTGTTAGAAAAATCCCAACTAGCAACATCAGTTGTAAATTTGTTTACCCTATATTATGAACTGCAAGCTTCAAATAGTATAAATACCAGAAATTCAAAAAAAGTGCATCATTACCTACATCATATTATTGATTATCAAAAATAATGCATAGCGCCCCCTACGGACATGTAAGATTTTCATTTTGTTTAATCAGCGCCCTCTACAGGCCAGTTCAAATTTTTTGTGTGTATTCATTCAACATGTGTCAAATAATTTAATTCTGGCATGAAAAAATTGCATACAGCAATGGATCACAATTTATTGAAATTCAACAAATGCTGATAATGGCGTTCATTACCTTATCTTTTGCTTTAAGTAACTGTTTAACCACAACTCGGTCGGCAAGAAGTAAGACTTTCGTAACTGCTGAAAGAAGTCCCCTAGCTGCCCGTACCATTGAACTCTTCTCTGTAAAGTTCATGGGTTGTCCGCTGTCATCGTACTGGATATTTGTCAGTTTAGCTATATTCTGACCTGTGTAATACAGTGGAATGAAATATCAACAGAAAAATGAGTAGTTTTCATTAATTATTATGATTAATTAATCTTTAACCGTAACTCACTTTTTATTTTGAAACCTTCTAACTCACTTATTATTTTGAAACCTTCTAACTCACTTATTATTTCAAAACCCTCCAACTCACTATAAATTAATCTTAAGCCCTCTAACTTTTCTGCAAATGCTTATTGTAACCTCTGTAGCATAGAAGGATCAATATTTGAAAAATGAATGGCCTGATGTTGACAGGAATGCTAATCTTTGATTAATCTAAAACACTCACTGAGAATGAAACCCTTTAACTTACTAATTATTCAGAAACCCTCTAACTCGCTGATTAATCTAAAAACTCACCTGCCGTGGTGGCTTCTTTACATGCATCCACCATTTCATCTTTAATATCAGGGTTATCATTTGCGATGGCTTTACCAACTGCGGTGAATCGATTTACAGCTATATTCACAGCTTTACCAACTTCCAATACAGCTTTGCACGTCTTTTCTGATTTCTTGGGTTTCTCTCGATGATTCACCAAAGTTGTAATCTGTACGATGAAAAAGAGATAAGAGTAAATGGAAATGCATAGGTACATGTCATTT